GGGGGAATCCTGGGAGTTGAAGTCCACACGTCTTAAAGTTGCTGAGGTTGAGAAACACTGCCTTAGGGTGACATTTATACAGTGGCCAGCTATTCAGCTCCAGAGGGTGAGTAGCTGTTGCTACTGAGGAACAACTGAATGAAAGAGAATGACAGGCAGGAAGCACCTTATCCCACCTTGTTGGCCAAAATGGATGCTTCGGTGTATTCAGCTTACTGACCCATCTCAGGGTTCTCTCCAGGTGTAATGGGCAGAAGGAATAACATTGAAAACAAGAGGAAGAGCCGTTACCAAGACAACAGTCAGATAAAAGAAACCTGAGTCCGAGGCAGAACTGTAATCTGAGAAAACTTCTCAGACCCTCCCTGGTTCTCTCATGAAGATAAAGGGAAGGAGGGGGGAAGCGCATTCAGACTTGTAAGATTCTGTTACCATAACCTTATAATAAAAGTAATATTGACCTGCATGACTTTGGTTTCCTAGTCTGGTCTACTCTGAAGGGCTGACACCCGGATGCCTTTCTCTTCCCTCCTGCCTTTTTCAGATGCTGGCTACACTCCTCATTACCCGCCAGTTCTTGCAGAATATTAAGGAAGTCTCTCAGCCCCACTTATATAGCAAGTTCAAGCGTGGTGACTTCAGTATGCAAAACCTTCGGGAGGTGACCCACACCCTCTTCCGCCTGCTGACCCAGAAGTACACATTCACCACATCGTATGGCACCAACCCTCGTCATCCCAGGCACGGTGACTCGCCGGCGGGCCACAGGCCAGAGGTATATGAGGCCCCAGAGGGGGTAGCCAAGGGGGAGAAGAAATGCCTCAATGGAGGGTGTGGAGTGCCTGAAGAAGAGGAAGAGGAGAAGAAAGAATCAGACTCTGAAGACGAGAGCATCATTGACTGTGGGCTGAAGCTGAAAAAAGTGAGCTTTATTGAAAAGGCTGACCGCAAGACGGGGGAGCCCAGTTTAGAGGAGGTGCGCTTCTTGGAAGAAGGCAGTCCCACCATGGTGGAAAAAGGGATGGACCCGTCCTCTGTCTTTGAACTGTGTGAGGATGATGATGAGAGTGACGAAGCCTCAGAGAGCCCATTTAAGGACCTGCCAGAAACTAAGGAGCCAGCTGTTATCATGCGGACTCGGAGGCCACGGGCAGGCAAGAACCCCACAGAAGGTGAGGAAGAAGAGGAAGACAGTTATGAGAATCGAAGACATGCCAGGACCTCCTGGATCGATCCACCAGAGGAGAACTACACCACGGAGCTTGCCCAAGCCGAGGTGGAGAGCTGCATGAAAAAATATGAGGTAAGCCCCATATGTGCTGCTGTGACTAGACAAGCATGTTATCAGTGTGGTTATTAATTAATTAGTCTATTTAATTAATTATTTGGCATTTGGACCTTTCTTTAAAACACTATCCAAGTGAAAGACCAACAGTGGGTTCTAGAAGCTAATCATGTTTTCTATCTCTGGAACATCTTCATGCAAAGGAAAACAATATGACCTCAGAGAGCAAGCACTAAACTTCAGAATAAAAGTTGAGAAAAGAACAAATGAATGAAGTGTGATATGGGCATTTTAGTTCTCTCTTGCACATGCTGACACAAGACATCCCAACATTTTGATCCTGTCCCAATTCAGGACACTTTTCAAGATTACCAGGAGATGTTCATCCAATTTGGCTACGTGGTCCTCTTCTCGTCAGCTTTTCCCTTGGCTGCAATGTGTGCCCTGATCAACAATATCATTGAAATCCGGAGCGATGCCTTCAAATTGTGCACAGGGCTTCAACGGCCCTTTGGGCAGCGGGTGGAAAGCATCGGAGAATGGCAGGTAAGCCTGGCTTTTCTAATAGATGCATTCTGACTTGCATGAAGGCAACGTTTCTCCCTCTCTGCCGTGGGGAAACGGTATTCTGAGGTAGATTGCACCTGATTGTGGAAGGTCTATTTAATAGCCATTAATTGACAGCTCGCTGCTCCTCTTCCACTAATTAGTATTTTTTTTCCCTTTTGGCGAAAGTAATCTGGCTTGGTAGCCATTGCCATATCATGCGGCAGTGAGTTCTGTAGCCCTTTGGAACATCTTGCCCCCGGGGTGAGACAGGCCCCCTCACTCCTGGCCTTTCGGAGGGATTTGAAGACTTGGCTCTGCCATCTGGCCTGGGGTGGGGAGGGAGGT